ATTTAATGACAAAAAGTTTTTTTCATCTTAAATACAAATTGTTCATGTTTAACTATATATGTATTTATGTCGGTATTTAGATTAGGGCCCATGAATTTACTTACTATTAATGTGTCGATTCTTTTTTTGATTCATCGGATAATCATTGAATAGCAAAAGGTTACACAAAGAAGTTTTTACAGAAATAAACCAGGTGAAACTAAAGCTTTTCCACCTGGAGTTCAGAATAGAGCATATTGACAGACGAACATTTTTTTTATGATCTTAAATGCTAAATATTTATATATTTTGGTACAATCACTTCTTTTTTTTCCTCCACTTTATTTTTATAGATTTTTTACAGAACATGACAATGATTAATGCCCTTTAGCACAAAAAAACCCGGAAAAAAAAAAAAAAAGCATTAGACAACAATAAATAATATTATATAAAAATAATTTGTTCATTTACACTTTAGACATACTGAAAGTAAAAAATTATAAAAAAACAAAACACTTTATGGAGTTTCAACCAGTCAATTAGAAGTGTCCACACCTTTATTTATGAAAAATGGGGTAAAAAAGAACAAAAAAAAGAGGGGGAGATAGGGGTTCTTTATGGCTTCAGTTGCTCTAAAATGGGTTTCCAAATTTTTTAGGGTATAATTACTTCTCCAAGTGGGTTGTTCTGTCAGCTAAAGGTATGTTTTACAGTCTCTATACTCCAGTTAAACGATTACTAAATTAGTTGACGATTATTTCAATAATTGATTAATCACGATTAATCCGATAGTTTTAATGTAGATATGTCTGCCATATAGATGATCGGCAGTTCTTATGTTTTTCTGTTAGTCATTTCAAAATGTAAGGAAAATGTTGATGTACATTATCCATTGTCATCTTAGAGATAAAGATATGCACATTTCTAAATCTGATTGTGATGAGATATTTGTGTTGATTAACATTGGCTTGATCCGTATTGAAAACTGAACAAATTTGGTTACCTATCATTTTATTTAAAAAAATTTTGTCTTGTAAAATGTATTGTAATATGTACTTACTGTATGAGTTATGTTTGAATACCAGGTTTTCTTATGGCTACACTGAAAATAATAGAATTCTAAGTCCTTTTTTCTTAAAATAAGTGCATTTTTCTTGAATTGAAGAGGAAAGTGAGACACATCTAATTATTTTAAGAGTAAAAATACTCATTCCATTGGCAAATCATCAAAAAAAATTTCCGCAAATTAAAGGCAAATAACCTTAATTTAAGAAATCTTGACTTATTTCTAGATATTTTTTGCAGTGTAAAGCAGGTTTCTTGAAATTCATCCTCCGTTGTTTTTACTCAGGTCAGTTACTTTCCCAAATTATTAACGTTTTTAATTTTTTAATTTTACTTAAGTGTTTTTCTTACTGATGACTTACTTTTAATTTGTTTATTCTGGTACTTGTACTCAAACCGTAGCTGCCTGAATTAAAAAAGTTTAGAAATATCTTGTCAGTAGGCTTTAAACTGCATAAAAAAAAAAAGAATTAAAAGTCACATTTAATAAGGGCCAAGGCTCTTATCTATTACCAGCTTTAACATTTGTGTCAAACTGAAGGTTTTTCAAATATTGCTCAAGCATTTAGTTACAGATACTAAAAGGATTTCTAAAAGTCTGCATGCTCTCTAAAATAGTTGCTTTTGCAGGATGGGATGAAAAGGTCTTGTTTTAAACTTGGAAATGTTTAGATTCCACTGATACATTTAAAGACTTTAGGAAGGAAATGTAACTGCTGCAGAAACATGTGTCCTGCTGCATGAATGAAGCCTTGTGTGAATGGAAAACTGCTGCGGAGGGACAGCGACTGTGAAGCTGGAGGGGAAACGGAAATGGGCTTGAACAGAGTAAGCATGGAGAGAGGTCCGTAGGGCTGACTCTGGTAAACCAGCAGATCTTCACCAGTCTTGCCAGCAGATGTTTTGTTGCTAACTCTTAAGTGTTTTCCCTCAGGTGTCTGGGGAAAAAAAAGAAAACATCTGCTGTATGCTGAGATCTGGTGTACAGATAAAGTTAAAGCGAGCCCAAACTGCTGCCTGCTGCTTCACATGTTTCACCTGCAACCATACGTTCTGTCAAGTGTAATTGTGTAAAAACTAGCCAGACCAAGGGGCACACTCATACACACTTGCTTCACACTTGCAGGCTCGTTCAGTCTGCGGCGAGGGACTCTGCATGGGAAGTGTGAACCGTAGAAGGCCAGACAAAGTGACATGTGTTCGCCCGAGGGGTTGGCACTGTAACTGTGTGTGTTTCTGTGTGTCTGCGCGCATATGTTTGTGCGAAAGCGCGGTGGTTAGCGCGCCAGCCCTGCTGTTTACTGTGGGGGATTTTAGAAGAATTGTAGGCAGCTGGCAAGCCCCTTCAGTTTCTGTGTGTTTTTTGTTTTGCTTTTTTTCTTCTCTCCCCTCCCTCTCCTAAATCTGCCGGTAGCTGTGTGTAGCCCTTCTCTGCTTGTCTGCCCTTCAGTTGTGCGCTCCACTTATGTGGTTACGATGCGCCGCAGCGATTTAACAAAATAGGCAATTTCCTTCATGAAAAGAAGCAATAATTTGCATTTTAGCAGCTGGGATACAGGATTATGACATGTTGCTCTGAAAGCTACGTTTAAAGAAATTACTGAAAAGACAAAATTATAATGCATAATAAACGAGTGACTAAAATCTGGGTTTCAAAGAGCAGTGAAGGAGCCTTGTTTGTTTAGCTTGAGCAATTAGTCTACTTTTCTGCAGTGCAAGTGCAATAACCCAAGGCAACTACGGTGTAGTTTCCTCTCTAACGTGCAGATATTTTTATATTTAAGGGAAACATATTCCAGGACGTTATAACTTTTTTCTTTTCATATGCTTTTTTTTTGCACTATATGCAATGGCATATGCTTTAACTTTTTGTACTCTATATAAGCTATTGGAACCAGAATTTCCCTGAAGGCGTAATCGCAAGAGTGAAATAAAGTTGAGTCCAGGCTCGGACTGGTAATCTGTTCTACGAATCTGTGGGCCGGTCCTAATTTCAGCATACAAGGGCCGGCCCTCCTTAAATCATACCGGCCCCAAACACTTACTCTCCAGCCGAAGCTCCTACCTGTGACAGTAAATAACTCAGGGAGCTCAAGAAGTAATAAAATGTTAACTACCTAAATGATGCATGCAGTATATATAGCTCTTCCTTGTCATACACATCCTTGTGACGGTTGGTACGATGTCATTTTCTATTTCTTTAAATTGTAAAATCCTTGCAACAAACTAAGTTATAACAAAACTAAAATGCTTTCTTTAAACCAAACTACGATGTTCCTCTTATATTTGACAAATTTATGTTATATTATGCAAAAATATGTGGCGGTGCATAATGGGGTTTTGCATCTAAAGGCTAACGTTTCCCGTCTTACGTGCATTGTTGCCAGGTTGGGATGTTTCCCAATCTGGCAGCTTAAAGGAATAGTACACCCAAAACATGATTAGCCTTCATTTTCTACTCACCCCCATGCTGAACAACACTCTGGAGTACTTTTTTGATATCTCAAATGCATCTGGAGATCTGGGAGGCTTCTTGCTGTCTGCTGACATTCAAATAATGGAGGTCTATGGCGCCCGAGGCAGAAAGGTCCATAAAAGTCCACAAAAAACGTGTCAATATTCCTCCATACTGCTCGTCCAATGTATTCCAAGTGTCCTGAGTGGGTAGCGTCCAGAATTTACTCGAAACGAAGTCATTTAGAATGTTTTTAGAGCATAAACAGTAGTGTATAGGATTTCCTAAAAGCGCGTTCACGAGTCTACGGAAGCCGGCAGACCAAACCAGATGAAAGTGCGCATTCAGCGTCTGCTCTGCCGATAATGCAAGCGTAGAAGAAGAAATGTGCTGTTTACCTGTGCAAAGAAAGAAACAACGAAAGAAAAATGTCTGAGGACTTCAGCGTTGAGGAAGAGCATGAGTTCTTTGCCGAGCTGAATGCGCACTTTCATCTGGTTTGGTCTGCCGCGGTTTCCGTAGACTCGTGAACGCGCTTTCAGGAAATCCTATACACTACTGTTTATGCTCTAAAAACATTCTAAATGACTTCGTTTCGAGTAAATTATGGACGCTACCCACTCAGGACACTTGGAATACATTGGACGAGCAGTATGGAGGAATATTGACACGTTTTTTGTGGACTTTTATGGACCTTTCTGCCTCGGGCGCCATAGACCTCCATTATTTGATTGTCAGCAGACAGCAAGAAGCCTCCCAGATCTCCAGATGCATTTGAGATATCAAAAAAGTACTCCAGAGTGTTGTTCAGCATGGGGGTGAGTAGAAAATGAAGGCTGATCATGTTTTGGGTGTACTATTCCTTTAAAGTGGCTGTCTATGGGCGAACATTTCTTCTTTAGATTTATGGCCTAAGAGATCAATAGACTTTGGTTTAAATTGGGCGAGATTTCATATATCAAGGAGGTTTATGAATAGTTTTTGGGCTGGAAAACGTGAGTCAGTGACATCTGGCAACCCTGCTGATGTGGTGAGTGTGGACGTTACGCAGCAGCGGTCACTGTTGGATCCGTGTTAATAACCAAAACCAGTAAAACCGCATTAGAAGTCTTGGTGATGGTTGTCGTGTGATGCTTGAAGATCGGTTAATCCACAGTTTGTATTCATGTTGTGTTTCACATTTTGACTGTGCTTCTGTTTTTGTTTTTTTTTGGCCGGAGTCGAGTAGACTTAGGCCTGGTTGAGTCTAAGTCTAAGATCCGTTTTTAATATTCAGAAACAATTTTCTGAGTAGAGGTGAGCAGCTGAATCAAGAGTTGTTCAGTATTTCTGGAATTTAAATTTAATTTCAAATTTAATTTCTGGTTATAAACATACAACTTTTACATCAGATTCATAAATTTTTTTTTTCCTTCAGCAAGGAAAAAAACAGTTAAATTAACTTATAATCATGGTTAATTAAAAAGAAGCTAATATAATGTTTGTTTTCTTTCTTTTGCAGGTGTTGGTCCTTCTGATGCTGGGTTTTCCATCGACTGGCTGACTTCTTTTTTTTTCCACTCCTGGCTGCTGTTTAGTAACATCCATACTGTACCAATAGCTGGACACCTGTACGAGTTACCATTAATATTCTTTACATCAAAACCCCACCATAAGCTAAGCGCTGTTAGCTGCCAGTATGGAGCGCAGTAGCTGGAGTGGCAGTGAGAGTCCAGGGGAGGACATGGACAGACTCAGTGATTCAGGAGGAGACAAGACAATGGACGGGGACCCCGAGGGGGTCTGGAGCCCGGATATCGAGCAGAGCTTCCAGGAGGCCCTGGCCATCTATCCACCCTGTGGGAGGAGGAAGATTATACTGTCAGATGAAGGGAAGATGTACGGTGAGTGGTTGAAGCACATAAAAAAAAAAAAAAAGTTTTAGTTCCAGTTAACTGTTGTTTCAGATCTCATATGTAAGGCTATATGTTATATTTTACTTTTGGAGGAAAAAAAAAAAAATCCCATCCTTGGGCAAGACAAACAGGCATCGATTGGCCGACTTGTTAAATTTTCTGGTGTGAGACGGTGAGAATAACGACGTCGGCGGTGGAGATGGAAGATTGTCTCACGGCGCATCAAGTGTCAGAAAAACAGGGATGAAACATAAGCTGTAAGGGCGAGGAAATGGAGGCATGCTGTAGCTGCTTTGTGTGTGTGGGGGTGTGTGAGAGGACGACGGCGTGACAGAAGTGGGAGAGTATTTGTGTGTTTGAACTAATAGACTGATGAACAGATGGTCCTCTGGCTGCCACCAGCTGCGTCCCTCTTCCACTCTCTTTTACTGGTTTCTTTTTCTTTTTTTATAAATTTCTTTATCACTGAGCTTTTTATCTATATTATATCTAGATTCTTATATGAATCCTTAATTTTGATGGGTTTCCATTAGATGGATTATTTTCAGAGCGGCATTGATGAGGTCTGTGATCCTGTGTAGGTCTAGTGCCTCCCTAAGTGTCTCCACTGCATGTTAGATAAAAAGCCAGATAAAAAATAGAAGATAAATGAAACATTTCTTCAGTCTATTTCATCCAAGGAGCACTTCAATAATCATATGGTGTCAAATCCATATATTTACACTGTATGTAAAATACCCTTTTTCCCTACTTTCCTACAATAAATCAAACTTTTGATGTTTTGGTTTGGTTAGGAATACCATTTTTTTTTGGCAAATATTTTATCAATTTAGTCGAATTCAGAGGTTTGCTCTAGGGAAGCAATAATCGATAAAATTTTAATTAATCTAACGTTGATCAATCTTATCGATCGACTAACTATTAATTGATAAGAGTCATTTTCTCTCATATCAAGAGAAAACTCAGCGTTTTCTCTCTTATAAAGAGCATCTTTCCATAACAAGGGGGCCTTAAGTTTTATTTTACAATATGTTGAATTGAAAAAGCTAGTTCCTCAAATTATTAAAAAAAAGTTTGTGGAAGTTGTAATGAACACTGATCAAACATAAAACTGTTTCCTCACACATTAATAAACTTTTTTTTTTAAAGATGTAACAAAACAGGAACCTATTATGTTATGGAATAAAGAAAAGATGAATAAAATATCTAATTTCCAATATACAGAGATTTAAAACTATCATTAACAGACAGGGTATGCTACTCTGACATACCCTCAGACTATTTACCACTTCGCTTTAATGAATTGGACACCAACAGTGATATAGCTTTGTGTTTTCTGTGTAATCCAGTAATTAGTGAAGAGAGACTTTGTGCTGCTAGCAGCTCCTTTAAACTGGTGTTACTGGTTCTGGTTGCTCTCAGAGGAACGTTAAAACTCAGCTCCATGAAGGCATTCATTTGCCAAAGCCAACCTCATCTACCGTGTTTATTGCCTGGTTGTCTTTTTCTATCATCTTATCTTTCTTTACCTTCCGATTAGAGCAGAAAAGTTACGCTGCTTCTCTATGCTGCACGGCTAAATGGGGGCTATTTAGGTGAAAACCTAAGGAGTTTATCCAGTGTTCACATATACAAACAGAACCATATAAAGTGTTTTCTGCATCCTCGTCACCATTAAACAGTTTGAGAGTGTTGGCCTAGTGTTTAGAGCACTACGCTTGTGCTCTGAGAAGGTTGCAAGTACCCCAGTTTGATCCCCACCGCCTCCACTCTGGGTTCCTGAGGAAAACCCTTAACCTCACACTGCACCCCAGGCGCCACACAATGGCAGCCCACTGCTCCCCAAATCGACGGGTTAAATGAAGAGGAGGAATTTCCCCATTGTGGGACAATAAAGGGATTTACATGAAATAATCCTGGACTGAACTCCGTGTAGGTACCAGATCTGCTCGGGGCCATGCTCCTTCTTATGATGTCATCATATGGCAATGCCACTCAGACAAACTGTATTGCTCCCTTTCTTAAGAATCAAAACTATTCCGGAGTCTCAAGATATTATTACCTGTATTTGCTATTATTTACCGTTTCATCTGCGATCTAAATTAGCCGAAAGTAGAAATCAATCATTCTCAGTCTTGCCATTTAATAAAGTGACACAAAAAGTCTCCCGTACTTCTTATTCTTTTTATTAAGATTTCAGAGCAGTGGAGGACAAATGGAACATCTCAAAAATGACTTTCATCGAGATTTTAGACGAAGAAAACAGCAGTTATTCTACTTGTAATAAAGTTAAAAGTAGTGTAGCTTAATATGGCTAACTGACTGTGCTAAAATAGGCTAACCTGTTAGCTACTGAGCACAGCTAGCCACAGGGCCACCCATCTCTCCCCCTTTTTATCGTGGTCTTACAGTTACTTTTTTCACCATGAACATATTTTTTTTCAGCTGTGTTATCAATCAGGTAAAACTTCATTAGTCATTAGACAGGCTATCGCCACAGATGCTTCCGACTCGGAACACGGACGCATTTTTATTATCGTTGTCTGAGCAACCACAGTTTTACGTCATGTGGCCAAGTTCAGCCAATCGTATAGTCGCTGGCATGTGCAGGGCCCGAGCAGATATGATCTGCCTCAGCTCCGTCATTACTTCTCTTGTAAATACCAGGGTGGCTCCGCTGAACAGTGGCGCCCCTTACTGGACAGCCGTAACACTACAATACTACAAATTCATTTTAAGCAGAAGTTATCAGTTATCTTGCTGGCCTTAGTGCCTATCAGTAATACATTTAGTCTGCTTGACTTGGGTAAACATTTTGGGTCTCTGTCAAGGTGACAAACTGCTTTGATTCTTAAATGAATAACAATGTTGGCGCAATTAGGACATTGATGGTTCCAGTGTCAATCGGGCCCCGATACAAGGGCCAACATGGAGCTGAATGCTAATGTTAAACAAAAACAGGTATCCAAAAATCCAACATAAAAATAAAACACAAACCAGAAACATGGAGACATCAGGGGAAAACATCACAAGGAGCCAGGGTGAGACAAAGTAAGACGAGGAACCAGCACAGAGGGACTGCACAGGGAGTGTATTTATGGCTGACTGAACAAAGGCAGGAGTAACGAGCTGATAAGGAGCAGGTGTGAGCAGAGCTGACGAGGAAGCCAAGGGAAAAGAAAACACAAGGGGGCAACAGAGGACAGAAAGAAAAAAACAAAAATAAACTAAGAAACATAAATTAATCCAGAACACACCAAAAAAGCTAGAAAACAAGGAAAAACCTGGATGAACTTGAAACTGAAAACTTAGAGAAAACCAACAGAACCAAGATCGTTACAACCTGATGTTTATGGAACAGAAAGTCAACACCTGGATGTAAATATTGTATTTTTAAATAATGTTTGGTACCAGAACAATGTTCCTTAGTCATAGTGGTTCCAAAATTTGGACACTGGGACCTCTGTATACTTCGTCTCACTAACAATTGGACGCTGCAGTTACTTGACCTCATCAAAACCAACAATGGTATTCAGACTAGATCGTTTCTGGTCTAATAGAGTACTCCTAGTGCTTTATACTAGAGCCACATTTGCACAATTGCACACAAACACATAAAACGTCAAACAAAATTAAACCCAGAATATTTGGATAGGGAGACATCTACTCCTATCACTCTAGATTTCTATCATGTTCAATTTTGACTGCCTTTTAGAATTTCCTGCCTCTTGTTCCCAACCTGTTGCTACCTGCAATGATGAAACCATGTTTGTTTTATTCCCTTTAAAGAAAAGCAGATTGAGGAAAGCTGTTTTAAGAAAGCCAGAATAAGTATTGTTTGCATATTGAAAAGAAAAAGGCAGAGAGAAAGCACAGGCAGCAGATGATCGAAAAAAAAAATTGTTTTTCTTTTATTGACATAACCTTAAACATACAATCTGAGCTGCAATTAAATGATTTGGAATGGGCTCAAAGCCTGTGTTGGAATGGCCGAACCAAACTGAGAGCAATAACTGGTAAGACTGTGTTTCCACCTAAACAAAACATTTAATAAGACATTTAAAAATAAAATAAAAACAATTACCATTTAATTTCATCTTCAGATCTACAAAGCTTGTAGAGAAATGCATAAAAATATTTGCAGCTATAAATGCAGGAAAGGCTAGTTCTGTTAATGCATCATCAGTCCTGATGTATGGTTTGTATTAGTCTTTTTCCTGCTTCACAAAGGTAGGCAGCAGCTTGACAAAGCCATGGCAATTATTTTACATCCAAACAGCCGTGTAGCTTTCATTTCTTTAAGCAGATCAGGAGCAACAGACAATTCTGAGATTGTTATAGACACTAAGGTATAACTGTGCCAGGATTCATCAGCAGACATGAACGGCTGATACTGCAACTCCCTCTCCAGACACCTTTTCTTATTGATCAGCTACAGATCAATCGGTGCATCTCCGATTCCTGTCTGGGTGGCATGCTCAGCCCTGTTTGTTTACCTTGTTGACTCTGTGTCCAGGTTGTTGACACATCTTAGACGGGTGACCTAATCGAGTTAGACAGTGTCTGTTTTCAGAGGAGGCAGAGGAAAAATTGGGATGTTAGATATTTGAGACCAAGGGAACTTTGATCGCTGCCTAGAAAATCTGCTAAGCAGCACGGCGACATCAATGTGACCATATTTGATTTACATTTATAAAAGCTGAACAGCTTACACTCTTTCTACTGTATTGTATTTACATCAAAGCGATGTGTATATATATATATATTTTAGTCTATTGATGCAACTGATTATGCTGCTGTGAGAGGGATAAAATACAACTAAATATAATCAACCAATGGCAAAAAAAAAATGCTCTGCATGATGCATACAGAGCAAAAAGTTTAAATGTTAGTAATTCAGTTTTTCTTAAAATAAATGCATTTTTTCTTGTTTAAAGCAAGTAAGTGAGACACTGCCAATAGAATAAGACAATTTATATTTAAAAAGA